ATATTAAATTTTTATTCGATAATTTTATTAGTCCGTCTTCGGCAAGAAACGCCTTAAGCAATTGTTCTTCAGTTGATAACTCTAATTGTATACTAGAAGGCACTGCTTTACTAGTTGTACGTGTTAACTTAGCTGTCTACCTCCTACTCTTAATATTATTTCTGTTTGATAGCTATAGGCCTTACATGTAAACTTATACTAATTATCACACAAAGTTCTATCGAGATTTTTTTACTGTTCAAGTTCTAGCCACACGTTTTGTTTTATACGTACGAGCGCGCGCGCGTGTGTGTGTGTGTGTGTGTCTCAAATAAAAAGTTTCAATTAAAATTGTTTTTATATAAACAGAGTTCGTTTATCTTAAAATATGCAAACCCTTTAAAATAATAAATAAAAAATATTTCCGTATAAAAAGGGATTGGGAACCACTGCTTTATAAATAATGACGTATCTGAAGCTATTGGGATTACGCATTTATTACTGATGAACCTAAAGACGATAGTGGAAATCGCCAAATTATGTCTCTACTTATATTAAAAAGAAGTTATCAACTTAAGCGGCATTATCCTACCAATTTCAGAAGGGTCCAGAATTATTAAGGATTCTAAAAGATTAATACTATTTGGATTTTAGATCATAGTAAAATTCATTGCTGCCTAAGTATTAGTTTCCATAGAAATTACAATATTCTATGGAAACTATCGGATATCAGGATAAGATATCAGGTCACTATCCAATGCCAAATTGCGATCAATTCAAACTTAACTACCAAATAATTGAGACTTTTAATTGAATTGATGAAATATGTTCTTCTGTAATAAATTAACTATACAATCCTTGAATGAGAAACCTTTGTGAGGATGTATACACGGATTTTGATAAAATTCTCAGCCTGAATTAACATATTCTTATCTTTATTCCAGTGAAAGTTACCAGGGGATAAATGTACCACGCGGCCGAAGCTGCTGCTGGAAAGCTATGACATAATTCTTTAAAGTTAATCATATGTCCGTTTCTTTTTGACAACTATTCGCCCGTTTCCCGACGTTTTAAATCAAATCAGTTTATCGGTTCCTTATATCGCAAAAAATCTCCACGTACCTTCGTGCAAAACAAACACAGGGTCAAATTCTCTAATCTATAGAATATGCAACAATTATAACCAATTTAGTATGTGCTACGCTGATGTCGATATCTTTCCCGACCCATTGGTGAAGTTTAGGAGAGAACTGACGAAATGGGTACCAGGATATTGAAGTGTAATATTATGTTGACATTTGCATTATCACACCATAGTATAAAGCAAAGTTGTTTACTCTGTCCCTATATGTATGCTTAAATCTCTAAAACTACGTATCGGATTTTGATGCGGTTTTTTTTATAGATAGGGTGATTCAAAAGGAAGTTTTTTATGTATAATATAAAACCACGTGGGCGAAGCCGCTGGTGGAAAGCTAGTAATAATATAAATGTAAGTTGTTTTGTTTAATTTTTTTATTTGTTTTGGTTAGTTTAATTTTTTTTATTTTGATTTTATTAATTTAATTTATTACTAATGTTGCCGACAGCCTTACCATGTTTTTGATATATTATTACTGGCCTCTTTAAGGAGGCTTTTATACTTGTTTTTAATTTATATTTTTTATACTTTTTGACTTTGTCAATGTAATTTCAATGTATCTTGTTTTTGTACGTTGATCAATAAATGTTTCTCTGTGTTAAAAGTCATATTATTTAATTATCTACAGTCCTCTATGCTTGCTGTCGATTACAACTATTGAATAAGTGTTTAAGATTTGTATGCGCAATAATATAAATAAGTGAATGTTGTGTATGTCTATAATTGTCATGTGTATCAGAAATTGTAATTGTTTAAATATTCTATTGTAAAAGTTAAATAAGTATAAATAAAAAAAATGCCTTGCATTGATAAATAAAACTTTAGTTGGAAAGATATTTTGCCTTCCAGAAGTGGTTCTTGACATATAAGTTGTTACTTGAAAAGTTATTCGATACTGAGATTTTATATTGAACTAGCTTTTGCCCGCGACTTCGTCCCCGTGGTAAAGTTACTTAGAGCAGCATTTCTAACGAATATTTATTCATTATATCGTGTCAAATATCTGAAATAAAGTTTCATCCCCTATTTTATCCCCTTAGGAGTAGATTATTATTCCTTTCTTAGTGGATGCCTACGTCATAGTAGCTCTATGCATGCAAAGTCTTAGCCCGTCGATTTAAAATTGACAAACATATAAACTTTTATCCCCTATTTTATCCCTTTGGGGGTAAAATTGATCAAAATCCTTTCTTAGCGGATGCCTACGTCATTACATCTACCTGCATGCCAAATTTCAACCCAATCCGTCCAGTGGTTTGGGCTGTGTGTTAATAGATCAGTATGTCAGTCAGTCCTTTGACTTATATATATTTAGATGTTAGATTTTAGGCTGATCAATTAATTCTGCAAAGAGCATTATACAATGTGGTGGTTACGATACCTTTATTGTTACATATTTTAATAGCACAGGTATTTTAGCTACTTATGTAATTTGGGAAGTGTACCGTATGTGATATTGTCTGATATTTATTTAATAATATGTTGAAATAGTAATTATTTGTTAATGAAATGTCTTAATTATTTCAAATAACAGCATATTTAAATTTTGGGTTCTATCAAATGGATTTCTTAATAGTTCAGTAGCTTGAAAATTTAGGAATCGCATGCCTTCATCACAAGTACTTAACTTAACTAGGGTTCAAAGGCGTAGTTAACGCAACTCAGTCAAGAAATTAACCTTAAATGTGGCACAATTAGTGGCGTTTCAGCTTATCTCCGCTCGTAATATCGTCGTAGAGGCGATTAAGTTGACTAAGTTACTAAGCTTTTGGGTAAATAATATAGCCATCAGCGTTAGCGAATTGATGGTTGATACTAGTGATGAACTATATACGCATTTAAGGCGAGGTTGTACGAAATTAATACATTTAGACCAATTATATTCAAATCCATTCAATATTTGACACAAAAACATATGATTAAATATATGATCGATGGTTTGCCAAAAACAGAAACATAAATTATTAAATATAATTTAAAAAAATGCAAAATTTACTTAAAATTTATTTTTAGGTCAATTTTACAACGAATATAATAGTCACACATATACTATTTAAATTATGCGCTTCGGCTATATTAGTCAAGCTTCGGCAATCCTAATGTATTTCAAAGATATCTATATAGAATTGTTATTACATAATTAATCATTTCGCTTAAACTTAGATTAGGTCAGCCAATTTAAAAATTAAAGTATAGTAAACTGTGTTTCTTGAACTTTATTAAAATATCCATTTTCAGACTTTTTAAAAACATTAGCTTCTGTTTAAAAAGTACAGGTACACGTTTTATATTATTTATTTTTTGACCGCTTATAGGCTTTCGCAATCCGGGCGACTGCTCTAACCGCTGAGCTTTGCAAATTGAGCGAATCTTTCAAGCACTTTTTACTTTTCCGCTACAAGAGTGCGTATTCTCATCAATGAGAATGGGATCAGGCATCCATCCAAACAGTCGAAAGAAATATTGTTACAAATATTGAAACTTTCGATAAAGATGAGAAATTTGTTCTAATTATTATATTTGATTTATTTCGCATTCAGAAGGCTATACTGAAACACATAACATACTGAATATTTAAACAATAGGTCGTGGGTGCGAATCCCATCCCAGGGTGCCAGGGACCAAGTGGATTTTTTAAGCATTTTGTATTAAGAATATATTTCGGTATAGCATTGTGAATGCGAAATAAATAAAAAATATATAGGTATTTTTTTTCTATTTATTTAGGACAAAAAACAATTGTACAATACATATTTTATCAATTTTTACAGTTAGAGATAAATAATAAATTGCACAACCAGCACCATTATCCATAATATAACTGTAAAATCTACGTAAGTCATAACAAAAGATTAACAAGTAAAGACGGTTGCTTCTAGTATACACTACAGTAGTTACAGACTACAGGCATTCAATATAATAATATTACTTATACGGATGCCTACCAGCGCCGATGAAATCACGACACCCAGAAATAAGTAAGAATTGTTTTAAGTACCTACCTTGTTGAAATATAAAGAGTTGATATATGTAGACCATATAGTAATTTTCGTTATAAATGTTTATAACACATTCACATTTCTCATCATTATTCGTATAAAGTCAGTCTGCAGATTTTAATTAAGATACAGTTATAATACAGGTAATATCCAAAATGCCTCTAAATAACAACGTGTCTTTCAAGATTTATATTACATACTTATTGTTAACAACTTTAAGTAATATGAACCTGGTGATCTGTAATTACAGATACATACGGTATCTTTTATAGATCTAATCTATAGATTAAATTATGAAATATAATTATAAACTAATAATTTAATGATGTACTATTGTGAGGAGAAAAAGAATGATAATATTATATTTAATCATTCTGATTGGCCAATGTTTGCTGCGCTTAGAAAATGAGCCTCCTGCGCAGTAAATTAGTGAGCCACATCAGTTATATCTTAAGGTGCTCGTCCACTGACCCAGCATGCACCCACCGGCCACACTACACGCAACGCGTTCCACAGATTGGTCATGTCATACGTACACTACGGTCGTATTTTTCATAAATGCTTCTATGAAATTTTTGTATTCTTATATGCACACGGAACCTGGTGTAAAGGGTCTAAAACGTCTACAAAACTAAATACAAACGCGATGAAAACATTTAAAATTGTATCAATTATGGAATACCCAAATTACTTTCTAAATTATTCTTTAAATACACAAATTTTCCCCTATTAAAAATTATTTAAGAAAGAATTTCAATATTATATTTTAGAGATTATATCCAGCATTTGCTTCCTTTCCTCTACCTTCAAAGAAATATTTTATAAATGACTGGGCTCTTAATTTTAGCTATCGATATGAAATTAAGATTTTTTTTTTACAGGGAGCGGCAAATTAAACTTCGATTCATTCGTGCGTGTGGCCACACATTTCCTCGATGAAGACGATGAAGCACTTCAGAAGGAACTCAAGGAAGCATTCAGATTATATGACAAAGAAGGTGAGCTGTTTACATTGTGAAATTAGCTATCTCCATATCGTAACGTTCCAGTTTAATATAAGCTATATACTTTTCGCCTCTATTTATAAACGCGTTATAAACCTATTTCGTTAGTATGCTCTCTCTCTTTCATTACACACAAGACTATTATCTATCTATAAACACATTTGTATATCTATAAGAGATTTTTATGAACACCGACGGAAAATTAACCCCAAGCATCATCCATATTATTTATACGATAATAATAATCAAAGGACCTACTCTATAGCATCACAAAGCCTACTGTTAAATCTTAATGGCGTCTGAATTACAGGTTGCTATTGTACTGTCTACATTGTAAGCCCAATATTATAAGTGATATATCTTCTTCATAAATCAATAGTAACATAAGTATATGTTTGTTACGAGTATTTTGTTAGACGACCGTCGTAGCAGAGTGGTTCACGTGCCGGTTGAAAGATGTCGCCGTCTTTGAGGTCATGGTTTCGATTCCCGGTCGATTGAATGAAGAAAATTTGATTTTTCTAGATTTGGGTGACCTTCGTTGTCTCAGATACTCATCATAAGGGAGCTGTAGCTGCTCATCTTAGAATCTAAGCAGTATATGTAATTTTGTCTAATATATATATTTTAGACAATTTGTAATTTAGAAAGTACCTACATAACTATGTAAAAACAGAATAAGGCCACTTGTATCGTTATGTCAGAGTTATCTACTTCACGATAAATCAGTCCGTCTGTTTATATAATAAACATCTGATCAAGCTTCCACAGGGTCATGTTTGGAGCGGGCCGACATTGTTTGAGGTAGAACAACTTTGCTGACAGCTCAAACAGTGTACTATAGTTGATGCCAAGTAATTTTATGGAGAGAATCTTCGAGGAATATCTAATATTTGGTATTTGTTCTAGTATTTATATGTCATGTGTTGTTTTTACCAACAATCGTAATGGTCAAATAACATGTGTTTATTTAATACTAAAACTTAGCTAGATGGCGTAGTGGTAAGCGCGCTCGTTCTACGATACAGTTGTTAAGGACTTCCTCATTGGCCGGTTATAGGATTGGCGGTGGCGTAGTGAATAGGAGCTCGGTGGCGTGGTGGATAAGCGTCGCGGCCCGCGATCGTTGTTGTTAAACAACTTTCGCAAGGGTCGGTCTTGGGATGGGTGACCAAAAAATTATTATCTTGAGCTACTCCGTGCTTCGGAAGGCACGTTAAGCCGTTGGTCCCGGCTGCATTTGCAGTCGTTAATACCCTCCAATCTTCATTGGGCCAGCGTGGAGAGTCATGGCCCATTCTCCTTAACCATCCATAAGAAAGGCCCGAGCCCTGCAATGGGGACGTTAAAAGGGTTAATGATGATGATGATGATCATATTAATGATAAAGAAACAAAAACTTCGTAACTTAAACTTATAGTAATATTTGCGTCTATCGCTTGCCTTAGACAATTCTAATTAATAACAAATTAACGATATCTTTCATTCAATATATTTAAAAAAAACATTAACGGTCGCAATCTCTATCACATGTCAAACATTTGTAGCTGTAGCTGAAGCTGAAAGGGATCTCAGCTTTCTAGATATATTACGAGTACATTAATAATAGTATCGTCCTTTATACGGAATCTGAAAATACTACTATTTCATGTTACATTTCATGCTTATATCATACTAGCTTTCCGCCAGCGGCTTCGCCCGCGTGGTGCCATTGAACTGTTTATTTAGACATCGATTCATATCATGACATAGATATAATTACAATGACAAATTGAATAGCAAACAATGATAACGTTATAATTCCCTATACAAACTTCAATACTCATTTTCATCCCTTTATCTGCTGTTTCGGGATAAAACATAGCTTGTGGTCACCGCATATGATGTAGCTTTCTGTGGGTGATAGAATTTTTAAAATCGGTCCATTAATTTTGGAGCCTATTCTTTGCAAACAAATAAACAATAAGATCTTTCCTCTTTATAATATTAGTATAGAAAATAAAGAGATAACTTACTTCATTTCTTTCGCTATCGGAATGTGACAAGTGTAATAGTAAAATTTTAATGTTCAATCGTCGATGGCATCGCGTATCGCAATTGTAATTTTCAATAAAATCACCAAAGTAACGAGTTTCAACCAATAATTGCTTTGAATGGACGCCAATAACTTCTTTGGCATCACGCCAAATCACTACGAAGTCCACAGAATTATAATTTTATAGAAAAATATAGTTAATCAAATTTTACTTCTTATCAATGAATCAAAAAAGTAAATAAACAGGGACCTACATATATTCTGTATTCATAGTCTATTCATCGATTTTCCTAATATTATAAAGAGGTAGAGTTTCTCACTTTGTTTGTTTATATAGGGTAATTAATATTCGGAAATATTGATCCGTAAATGAAAAGTTACATCGCGTATAAGATGCTGCAAAAAAGCAAGTTTTAATTAAATATGCAAAGTATCTATATCCTTTTCTATTCTAAAATAAATTTTGTGTGATAACAATGACAAATATCTCATTTTAGTGACCTTTCATGGATCCAAATTGTTAAATTAAGCATCTAGTATTTAAAGTATTTTTATTAGTGTGGGTGTAATCTTGCAATCCAATAGAGTTTAGATTCGTTTGAATGATCAACTAAAAGAAACTGTTTACTCGCATTTGCAGGTAACGGGTATATTCCTACATCTAGCCTCCGAGAGATCTTAGCAGCTCTTGACGATCAGCTAACGCCTGACCAGCTCAACGAAATGATAGCCGAAATAGACACCGACGACTCGGGCACTGTTGACTTCGATGGTAAATATAACACATTGTTCCAATTCTGAATCATCTACCATTTAAAAATAATAAAATAGATAAATGTCTTTTAAATTTGAAACAACTTATTTGAGCTATTGTAATCTGTAATAAAACTTTTAATCTTAAAAAACAAATTTCCTTTTCTAACAACTACAAACATCCTTTTCTAATAACTACTATATTAAAAAGGAAACCATAGACTGAAGATTTATATAGGGCAGAAGACCCAATTTTGACCCCATTTTGGTTACTTGGAACTTCAAGATGTTCTAACTTACGCATAGGCAAATAAATTACCTTACCGTAAAAGGTTTTTAATACGATTTTTAAATTAAATAAAATGCAGATAAATGTTTTTATTTGCACAATTTAAGAAGTTTATTAAATTTCTTTATTTTGATTTCAGAGTTCATGGAAATGATGACTGGTGACTGAAAAATGGATTGATCAATCAACGCTCTTCAATGTTGATGTTTCTAGTATATAATAAATTATTATATTATATAGTTCTAGTTTCATATGTTCCCAATGTTTTAATAACTAACCAATAGTGTTATTCTGTAAAAATACAGTGTACTTTTGCGTTTACAGCCTTAACAATATTAGCATCGCATTTCATTTTTAATGTAGAATTTACATTAGATACTTTGTGGTCCCTAACTTTAGCTCTTTGTAACGTACAGAATATGCAACAGCACTATGCATGGAAGAGAATTCGGAACTCATTATCATACTAAACGGCGATAATCGGAATACCAGTGCTCACTCCACTACCATTTGCGTACATTAAGCTGGATTAATTTGAATACTCAAAGGTCGTTTTGTTAATGTTTCGTATAAACTTTTGCTATCGAATTCGTTTGATTACGAGATTACAGATATATATTTTTTTATTATGACTCCGTTAAAAAAGGATTCACACTATTTAAAATAACCTATTACCAGTAGGTTATTTTTACCGATTACCAGCTTTTAGTATGGAGTATCACCTTCATAGATAATGCCAAACCAAGTGCTAACCCGCTATAAAAACTATTGCAGAGAACAATTTGCTCTCATTGTGATTGTTTGTGATTTACAGACGTTTGGGTAACTATTGTTATATAGAGTTAGTGGTTTTTACTTATTTAAAGTACAAGAAGTTATTTGGAGTAATTTGTGTACTAATGATAGGTTTTATGCTTAGAGGCTTTAAATTAATTACAAATATATTAGTGTTATGGGGTGATCTAATCCTTCTTATACATAGTTGCAAGGCATTCAAATAATCATCCATCCCTAAAAACATAGGTAAAAACAAAAGATACAATCATATTCTGTAAATATTAAATCAAAGTGAGCATTTCACTTTTCTTGTCGGAGTTTGTTTCGTCAATTCTTCTCAGACAAGACTGGTGTTAGTTTTACGGTAGTAGTAAATAAATGACTTAGATGTGTTTTTTTTTTAAATTGATGTAAACGTTTCAATTAAATATAAAATTTTTATATTATGAATGAGTCCAATAGTATTGTTTAGAAGCAATACTGAATACGGAACCTGTAAACGGTCCGAACGTCATAAAAGAAAACACAAACGCGATGAAACCGTTTAAAGTTGTCTAATTTAAAGTAATATTTTCGTCTAACGCTTAACTTGAACAATTCCAATGATCGTTTAATTAAATATATCTTCATTCAATATCTAATGTCAAATAGATATAGCGTTCGTGAATAACTTTCAAATATCAAATCGAAACTCAAAAATACATAAATTAATTAAACCACCAACATCTAATTCAAGTTGAAGTATTTAATCATAAAATCAACATATAAAAACATTCAGTGAATCATCCATAATGACCCTCGTGGAGGAGTCTGAATGAGACGCTCACTTCATGCATTAAAACGTTACTCTGAATGAGAAGTGAAAAGTGCCGCAGTTGATTTGCTCGCTACGGGCTGTGAAAAACTTTAAAGAAGCTGTACTCTTTTTATCTTTCATTATTATATTTGATTTTAATTTATAAAGAATTACATGTTTTGGTTTTTGTTTTATACTTAACTCTTTGTACTAAAACTGTAATATAAAAAGATAAATAAATCTTCTAATATCTCGTTAAAATACCTAGTTTCCATCATCCTCTTCGATATTTTAGTCCGTTACCTCTATTTGAATCTTTTCTATATAAAAAAAATATTTTCAAAATTCCGATTTTTTTCAGTATTTTCTTTGATGTTGGAAAATAAGTCCCAAAGTAAGCTCCAGGACAAAATACCTTTTAGCACCAATATGAGTGATCCAGTAGCATATACATCTGCTGAGGCTCATCCTCTTTCTTAAGGATGCAGATTTACCCGCTCGTCTGCCATTGTCCGTGCACAATGGTTGGTCTGCAAGCTGGACATATTAAAAAGATTGCTCAAATGGAAGCAGCCAGTCATAGCCAATGCCGAACTGGAAGTAGCCAATTTGGAACTGGAGGTGTGCCTCCAGTTGTGAACTGGCCAATCTAGAATCCGAGTGTGATAGAAGCTTCCGATCAGCGGTCGGAAAATGGTTAGACAAAAAATCTCAATATTCCTAAAAGAAGACAATAGTGGTAGAAGAAGCTTACTCAGTTCACTCAACATCTCAGCTCAGCAAACAGAAGAGCCAAACCCTCCTCCTACCATAGGGAATATTCTCAATTGTAATAGCTTTATTAGCACACAACATCGCTTCATAACGAAAATCTGAATCATAAGTGGGGTAACCTACGGCTGCTTCTTTTCGACGGTAAGTCTCTGGACTGACTGGCTTTTAAAATAGTGTTCGAGGACACAAGAAGCACATACTCAGCATCCGAAAACTTGACAGGAATTGGAGCATGTCTAAGAGATGCAGCGCAGAATGCAGTGACGGATCTGCTAATAAATTAAATACAGATAGTTATGACCTTGATAAGCTTGTAGATTGCATAAATACCATTATAATCTATAAAATTATTTCAACACAGGTGTTATTTAGAAACACCAGATAACAGTCCACGGAGCACACTCCCATCGGATCATCTAAGAATAGCGAAAATTCGTATTCTCTACATTTTCAGATGTTAGCTAGAATCCTACCCCGAAGAAATCAGATGTATAAGAAATGGCCTACCATATTATCTCGTAGTCGTTAGTTGAAATTACCCGCCTCCTTTGAAAACAACAAGATAGAAATTCTGCGCTTAACGTCTCATATCACCTTAGCTCGGGACTTGATGAAACAATTAAGTTTCCAATTCTTCTTCACGGAAAACACTACGCCATTCGACTGCTTATATTATCATAGGAGAACTACTCACGCTACCAACAAGACGGTCATCAATGAGATCAAACGGACCTACTTGATAATTAGCCCGAGGAATACACATAATTGTCAGTTTTGTTGAATCGGTCGTGCCATACCCAACTTCCCATGAGAGATCTACCAAAAACTAACTCACCATCGTCGATTTTCCTTTGTTGACCTTAATTATTTCGGCCCAATAAATGTTTTTGTTGATCACAGAACAGAGAAAATGTACTTGGCCCTTTATACATGTCTCTCCGTTCGAGCTAGCCATTTGGGAGTGGTCAACTTTTCTACGGATGCTACCATGGCCTTGTGAGTATTCGTTGCTCGCCTCGGAATACCATCTGAAATATATTCTGATAACGGAACTGCGTTTGCTGGTCTTAATAGACAACTTAAAGCTCTTTATGAAATGCCATTTTAGAATAATTCGTGGCTGAAAATATACGCTGCAAGTTTATCCTGCCTTCAGCGCCTTTTATGGAAAGAGCGAGGTAGAGACTTATAAGATCAGTGAAAATTGCCATGGAAACCTCCTTAGGCAACAGAACCCCAACCGACGAAGTTCTTAAAATTCTTTTATGCGAAATCAAGGCGATTGTCAACTCACTCAACACATCAGATCAAGAAGCTATCACACCTTTTCACTTCATTTTTCATTTCATCTGGTAAGCCCATTTCAGCCAATTTGGAAACTTCAGACCAGTGCAGCAGAGTAGGGTAGCGGAAAGCTTTATTAACGGCTGATGCATTTTGACAACGTTAGCTTAAAGAGTAACTGCCAACCCTCAGACCAAAAAGTCGCAGAAGAGAAAATCTAGATATTAATATCGGTGATGTTATCATAATCACTAACAGTTCCTTACTAATAGCTTCTTGGCCCAGGAGTCTTGTCACAGCCCTTTACCTGGCAGAGATGGCGTGGTGCAAGTAGCGGATGTAGAGACTCGACCAGGTAAGCTCCGTTGGCCTTTGAAGAAATTGATTATTCTTCCAGTTTAAAAATGGGACCCAGTGCACGACAGCACCACTTTTTATCTTTGATTATACTTTTTTGTTTTATACTTTAATTTTTGTGCTGAAACTGTAATTTAAAAAGATAAATAAATCTTCCATTATCTGGTTTCCATCATCCACCTCAATGAAAGCAGTTACAGCATTAAATTTTTATTTCTAAGTGAAATATCACTGTGACGATATTCTGTTCAGTGCTTATAGAATAGCGCCACGGTCTGCAATCGTTGTTGTTAAGCAACTTTCGCAAGGATCGGTCACGGGATGGATGACCAAAAAACAAAAATATTATTTCTACTCCTTGCTTCGGAGGCACGTTAAGCTGTTGGTCTCGGCTGCATTTGAAGTCTTTAATGCCCTCCTATCCACAATGGGCCTGCGTAGAGGATCATGGCCAATGCTCTTTAACCATCCATAAAGAAGACCTGACCTTAACGACTAGAAAAAGGGCTGATGACAATGAGTTTCATAATTATTTTATTTTTAAGTAAAATAATTGTTCTCTGACATTAAATTAAAACTACTTATCTAAACTATTTCTTAAAATAATAACTAAACTAAATTAAAAATGTCTCCTAGATCATTGCCTACAGGTAAGGTACCCAGAAGGCTGCGAGCGTTACCTCTTTGAATAGCTAAAATAATTCTTTGGGCGAGGTATAAACCAGCCTTCTGATCACCTCAAAAAGTCAGATCAAAAAGTTTCTTTTTTAACTCTTGATAAAGACGATGGGCTCCAGGGCCCCACGGACCCATCGTTTCGACCCCAAACGGCTCAAATATGTAGGTATTACTTATTAAGGTAAATATCACGGTGACGATATATTATTCAGCGCTTATAGATTGCATTAGAATATTTTATTTTAAATTTAAGAATGCGTACAAAAAAGGGATAAAAGAAAAGGTTACTCTGTTGTCTGTCTGTAAGTTCGGTTGTCATTCTCTGAAACTACTGAACCGATTGAATTGAAATTGGGTACAATTGTATAAATCTTGGGTTCATGCATAAATTAATAAAGTTCAGTAACATCTTTCGAGTTTGATGGGCAGTGGCAGATTAAGGGGTGGAGTGCTCTGGTCCTGGGGGCTCTAAATAGCTGCAAGGAGGCCCCGAAGGAAAACAAGTAGAGCCAGTAGCGGTAGTTTACATTAAAATTACGAACTATAATAGTTAAAATTATTTTCAATGCCTTATCTTCCTGCCTAGCTTCGTAGTTGATTTATTTTCTTAAAATACTTAAGAAATCTATGTGGTGGGGGGGGGGTTAATAGGGTAAGTCCTTTACTGGTAATGGGACTAATTTACAAACGTTCTCATTGCAAGCTGAGATTGATAAATGTCTCTTGATTTACATCTAGACGCCTGCTGCGCTCCAAGTTATTAATCCATCAACCACCATTCTAAGATTAATGTGAACATAAATAGAGAATATATTTTCATTATAGCTCAGGGGTGTAGTGGATAAGCGCTGCGGCCCGTGATCGTTGTTGTTAAGCAACTTCCGCGAAGTTCGGTCACGGCATGGGTGACCAAAAAAAAATATCTCGAGCAACTCCTTGCTTCGAAAAGCTAACGTGCTTTTCGTAGCTGTTGGTCCCGGCTGCATTTGTAGTCGTTAATGCCCTCTGATCCGCAATAGCTCAGCGTGGAGGGTTTTGACCCATGCTATTTAACCATCCATAAGTAGGGAAGGTCTGACCTTGAAGACTAGAGAAAGATTGATGACAATGATTTTCAAAATTATTTAAAACAATTATAAAGGTCAAAATATATAAACTACGGCTTTCCAGCGGTTTTATCTGCTTTGAATTTGGTTAATTTTCTCGATAAAACTATCCTAAGTTCTTTCCTAAAGTTAACTCTATCCGTGTACCAAATTTAATTTAAATTGAATTAGAAGTTTGGTCGTGATAATGCATCAAACACACACACAGAAAGAGAGAGTCAAAGTTGCTTTCACACTTATAAATATTAATATGGATGTAGATACTAGATTTTCGCCAGCAGTTAAGTCCATGTGGTACTTGTAAGTACATTCTAGGATTAGAGAATTGTGTAGGATAGAAAATAGCCTATATTCTATAAATTTTGCCTGAAGAGTAACAAAAATACTTTCTGAGGATGGATCTCAGAAACTCTCACATTTATACTATGAGTAGGATAAAATTATCGACATTGGCAAAAAACCAGACATACATTATACCTTGTTGGTGAATGCATTCGCAGCGTTGCATTGAAATATTTATCCTATAAAAATGGCTTAAATTGTTATTCTTAAGAAAACGACTGCAAAAACCGAACTAAAAATAAAACAAGTTGTATTAAGGTGGAATAAAAGTAACTGTGGAACTTACATTATCCCTAAACATAATCAACTTTTTTGAACAGTCATATAAAAAACGCAAATGTAAATACATCGAATCGAAACAAACATCTTGCAATACAGTTCAATACTTCCCAAAAATGGGTTTTCAGGTCATATATAGCCAGTGTCACAGGGCGGTGAAATATACCAGTACCTATATCTGAGAGAGAGATTCCATATAATTGCCTTTATGAATAATTCAAACATTTTGGGTCTACCTCATAACTAGCGGATATTTAGTTGGTCAAATTTTGTAATGGAAATATCATGTAATGATATTCATATCCAATTTATTTTTATTTTATACAGTAAATCAAATACATTTTTGTGTAATGTTGTGAATTGTACTGTATTGCATAGTTAATACTCTGTCATACAATATGGAGACAGGAATAATTTCTTTGAATTTAATATAGAATTGAAAACTTTGAATAAATTAACAAATACTTTAACCAATGAATAATTCTCACCATACGGCTCCTTATTGTCAACATCCTATCATTGTCCCCATTGATGATATACAGGCATTCTAAATGAATCGAATCGAATAAGGCGAATGGGACCTGCATGACCCACATAGGTCAATTCGGACTGATGGGTGTTAACGGCTACAGATACAGTAGTTACCAACGACGTGACACATCTTCTGAAGCACAAAGGAGCTCAAGATTATAATTTTTTGATCACTCATCCTATGGTCGGCTCTTGCGAAAGCAACTTAATTTCCGCATCGCAAACCTCGCCAATCGGCTTGTGGCGACTGATACGTAGCGCCATCTAACACATCGCAGTAACATAGCC